TTCAAGTATGTCGTTACCATTGTTTCGGTAATGACTAAGAAGATTGTTGTTATCCCGACCCTAGTGGTCATATCACATTGAGTCCGACTACGATGAGTAGGTTACGTGGTTCAAAGAACCAAGTTTGATATAGCGTCCGACTTAAACCAAACGATTAAAATCAAAGCGATCAATAGAAGTATCGCGCTCGTTGTTAAAAGAAGATGGTTGCTAGAGATGCTACCTTTTTAGATGTGACTAGAACATGAAGGAATGTATAGACTATTCTGGAATTTGACTCTAAGAGACCTGAGTCTGAGCATTGCAACATATGATGAGAGATCATTAGAATATGACACATCGGTCCATTGTATTAATAAAAGAACTTATCTTAAGTTCGTATCCAGTGAGGATCGAGATTGTGACTTGAAGGTCATAATTTGGATTCTAACGTGAGATAGAGAGCGCATGCAAGATCGAGCACCGCCTGTAGTCAAGGAGTCTAAGAGTTAGATACACGTTCGAAGAAACATCGAAGTTATGACTTAGGATGAATAGATAACAAATGGAGTCATCATGTGAGCCCTGTTTCGTTGATGATTCCGGGACGTAATCATCCTAAGGGGGAGATAATTGTAACGCCCGTAGATCCGGGCTAGTCAATTTAGAGGCAATAGGGGTCGAAAATGACTTTTCGAAAAAAAGATTATTTAGAATAAATAATCTTAACCAAGTTGTGGAATATGTCACAAGGTTTCCGTACATATAAAGAACGCCGAAATCCGAGTTATAACGAAGAAGTTATGGCCCGTTGAAGTTTTACGGCAAAATCGGCACGGCACCGGGAAGCGTAAATAGTGAATTTACGATAGAGCGAGATTTATCCTTAGCAATCTAAATGAAAGTCGTATAATATGTTAAACTAAGAGCGTCGATAAAAAGAATGCCCAAATCTGACTTCGTATGAGGAAGTTATGATTTTTCTAAGATTCGACTTAGCAGTGCACGGCCCGAAACTCGAATTTTAGTTCGAGTGGTTTTTTGCTTACGCGACCTAAATGAGAGTTGAAGATCTCATTAATAGGAATTCAACGGTAAAAAGACAGACGAAAACGGAGTCCGTATGAAGGAGTTATGAATTCTTCGCGGTCATGTAACAGTCTAAACGCCTCCTACTGTTAAACTTGAGATCGGTCGAGAATTAGCTGACGGAGTCTAAATGAAAGTTTTAGATCTTGATTTTACCTACACGTGGATATAAAGAACTTCGAAAACGGAGCTCGTATGCGAAAGTAATGATTTTTCTAAGTTTGAAGGCTGATACGCGATAGGGGGTGACGTGGCACCACCAGAATTGGACACGTGGCACCACCAGAAGGTTGCCACATGCACCAACTCGGCGAGTCATGACTCAGACTCGGCGAGTCCATCAGGTTTTTGCACTATAAATAGAGGTGTCGGGTCTAGCCTTCTCTTCACACCTCCCAAACCTTCTTTCTCTCTCTAAACTCTCTCTCTAAGCTCCCTAACCCCCTAAAGCCTAGGGTAACTCCCTAGCACGAGGCGGAAGCTCCAGAGTGCCCGACGGCTCTGAGAAAAGAGCCTTTCGGCTCGGGAAACGCTGCTCCAGCGAAGCTCGGTTTTTCGAAAAACCCGCTGTAAGTGAGCTACGCCTACGCTAGTTTTAATATAGCTTCTAATTAATTATAGTAACATTATTAGGACCTTAAAATAATTATTTGGGCTATTATTATGAGTTATATTGAGTGTTATTTAACGCTTATATAATAATAATAATAGTCAGACTATTAATTTGTCGCGGTTATCGTTAGACTAAACCCTAGTGGTATTGGTACTAGGTTTTATCGAAGGAAAGTTGTTTTGAGAGTATCGAAGCGCTGTCCGAGTGTTGAGTCACCACCTATCAAGTGAGTGCATGGTCCCTTTCATCTTACACATAGATATGAAGTATTTTATTATAAATTACGTGCTATGTGTGCATATTGTTTTGAATACTTGTTGACTATGCTGATGAAAGATTTATACATGTTTTAAATAATTTAAACTGTATATGTAAATTTATATCTACGATAATGTTGGGGTAAAACGTGGGTAGATGGAGTATGAGTTGGATGATGAGTTAAGAGGTGAAATATACCGTGAGGTGAGGATGAGAGGTGGACGATGTGAGAAGCCTTTCTCCTAAATGATGGCCTCGTCAATCAGCAGAGTATGGATAACAACCACGGACTATTCTAGACAGTCCAGTGGAACACTAGCAGGCTCGCAACCTGTAGGTGTTGTGAACGACGTGTTCACCCGGTGTACTCTAAACCTTGGTGATCATGCAGACTTGATGCCTAAACCCTGGTGATCATGCATACTTGATGCCTAAACCTTGGTGATCATGCAAACTTGATGCCTAAACCCTGGCGACTATGCAGACTTAGTGCTTGTTGTGAAAACCGTGGCTATGATGGACTTTGTGTCGATTCCTTAGGATAATCCTTAGGAATGAATGAACGAGAAATAACTGATTCTTAGGGTAGATCCTTAAGAGTAAAGAAGATAATGTGGATGGGTAATTGGGTTTAATTGCTTGATTGTTTAAACATAATAATTATATTATTGTGGGTTGAAAACCCTATGTACTCACCAGGTTTCCCAACCTGACCCACTCAGTTTATTTATATCACAGGTGTTGATACGAAGTCACTTTACACTGAGAGATTTAAAGAGATGTAGATCACTAGTGTAAATAAATGTAAGTTCTGTTTATGCTTATGTTTCTGTATTAACGATGACATCCCAAACGTTTTGAAATGAATAAAATACGTTTCTCCGAAAATGTTTTAATAACGTATTTATCATGTTTTTTTGGGAACAAATTCCGCAACATTTTTATTAAAAGAAGTACTCTGATTTTTATAAGGCATAAACAAAACCGGTCTTTTCTGACCGTAAAAATGGGGATGTCACACAGTATGATATGTTATGTTATTATGTGGTAGTGATAGGGGTGAAATAGTCCCCGTAGCCGGTTGAAATAAACCGGAGGGTAGGTCGGACACCTAGATATGCCTGACAGGGTAGGTCGAGCACCCATATATGCTTGACAAGGGGTAGGTCGGGCACCCCGGTATGCCTGACAAGTGTAGGTTGAGCACCCGGATATGCTTAGCAGGGTAGGCCGGTCACCCAGATATACCTGACAGTATGTTTATGGTATGGTATGTGGTATGATGAGGGAACTCACTAAGCTTTGTGGTTACAATTTTAGTTTTTGTTTCAAGTCCTTCTTCTTCGAAGGGAAAGGAACCGGTACGGTAGCAACGCATCACACACACGATTTCTGCATATAAGAATCTTGAGATTTGTACTCTCACATTATTACTATGCTATGACATGATTTTGAGACTTATGATCTATGGCTTTTTATGAAATGAAATAACTTGATGATGTTTTCTATAAATTGTTTTATAAATCGCTATATCAAAAATGAAAATTTTGGTCCGTGTTTTTGGGATGTTACATACTCGTTAAACGAGAAACGTGGAGTATGATGCTTCCGACCTCAAGCACACTGTTGATAACGTGTTGTGAGGTAAATTAACCCAGCTTAATGATCATGCAAAGATTCTCATTAGACAATGTTAATGTGTGTTCTCTTAGAAAAAACAAGAATACATGAAAACCCTTTATATAGGGCAATGAGTGGGTGAACCAAAGGTTGTAACCTCCAGTGGCCAATTCTAGAATTTTTTTGTTGGGCGCATTTGCGACCATCTATATAGCTGACTTGTAAAATGGCCAAATAACTAGTCTGGTCTTATGTTTTTTTAGACCCTCTATTCGGTTCGGATTCTAGTTCTTTTGGTTTGGTTTTGTTTTTTACGGTTCGGTTTCGTAACTATATTGCTAAAGTATTTTGGTTCAACATAGCACATACAAAAACATCCAAACTTGTGACTAGATTGCTAAACTAGTTTGCATAATATATATAATTAGCTATGTACTTAAAAGTACATAAATATTTTTATAGTTTGCTTTATATCGATTGGTAGCTAAGTACTTAAAGTACTTGAGATAACTAAATTATAAAAATACCATTAGATGCCTATGGGGTTGATAATTTATTAATAAGTTGATATAACAATAGATAATACCTTATCAAATGAAAACAAGTAAACTGAATTTAAAATTGAAAAATATTTATAAGTTAGTTAAAGTTAAGTAGGAAAAAGAAATGACTTACCAAAGACAAAGAAAAAAATAACAAATACGTGTTGACAGTTGTTTACCAAAGAACCATAAAGAACCAACCCACATCAATTTGAAAAAAAAAGGATATGATCAATTATAAAAAGAGGAATATATATACTGTCAAAGAGATATTCTACTTACTTTTAAGTTAAATTTCTTTTTTCCAAATTGAGTCGGGGGCATCCATAATAATAATGTTTTTAAGGCCATTTTTCTAGTATAAAATATGAGGTAATTGAATTGGCATTGGGGGCATGCGCCCCCATATCTTAAAGGGTGTACATAAATGCTACTAATGAATAAAATAGATATGAGCAATCACTACCAACATAAATGACCAATCACTACCATCATAAATGAGTTACAATAAATGCTACATAATATGTTTATAAAAATTGGATAGCTTGTTAAAGTTAATGTTTTGGAACAGGTTCATTTATAACTAAATATGGAGGTTTTTAAACTTCTATGAACACTACTGCGAGGAACCTTAAACTAAACGAATTAGCATATTGCCATGATCTATGTTCAGAAGTGACCAATAGCAAACTAAACGAATTAGCATATTGCCATGATCTATGTTCAGAAGTGACCAATAGCAAACTACCGATCAAATGCCACCAATCAAACATCAAACCAATCTTGGCACAGTTTATTTGACAAATAGAAAATAGAAAAACTTATAAGGCTATAAAGGTTTCATTCTTCCGCCTAGCAACAATAAAACTCCAACAGTTTTTACATGATTCATTGGTCATTAATTAAATTAGAAATGATTTTCATATTCATTACATAAAAGATTATCTTCATATCCAAAACAAAAGCCAAAGAAGATCATCACAAATAAACATCAAACTATGATCACTTAATTTGTATGCTTTTATTCATTAAAGAGGTTCTATATAAAAATATAATAACAAACATACAGAGTTGAAATGATAAGAAGCAAACCCTAAACATGAAATCCACCACACATTTTCCTTTTCCTTGCTTAAAATCTTAATAAGGGCATCAACAAGTCCTCTACACCTCGTAACTGCAAAACGAAATAATGTTCGTGATGTGTGAATGACCGCATGTCACAAAATGGGATTTATAAATTAAATATTTATCAAATTATGTTAAACATTCGCTTCAATAACATGTAAGAAAACGTTTAATACTAAAGTCAATGATGTTACAAGTAATTACCTTCCATATAAATCTATAGAATGACTCAATGGCTTCGTCGCTTTCGAGATCAACCGAGTTTGCTTCTTTCCATAGTATAAAACCAAGAATGCTATGACAGATTACCTATTGATAATAACAGTTAGATGATCTAATGTTTTCATGGGCTTGTAATTAAGTAATTCCATCTGAAATCTGTTGGTAATTACCTTTAAAGAAGTGTGTCAAAATGGGACCCAAATTATACAAGTTAAAGCAAAATATAGTTTTAGTTCAATAAGGTTATCAAATATATGTTTACCATTATCCATCCGATCCAAAAACCTGTTGATGATAACCCTATTAGTATTGCCACACCGTATGCCATTTCAAGGAGCCATATACAAAACCAAAACACCTGCAAAAATATTCAACCTTTTGTTTTAATTACAAAAAATTGCAGAGCGATTTGGAATTGGTACCAAAAGATCATCAATCATGATATATTTACATCTATATATAGGTTTGGAGCTCACCGGTTTTTTCCCAACTTTCAATGCAAATGAGTTAACTCCATTTATCTTGTCTCCCTCGACATCGGGAATGTCCTAAAACTCACAATTCATATATTATTATAAGTACAATATATATGAACATAAATAATACAAGATATACTTATTTTATTAGTAGCTAGGAATATATGTACCTTAAGTAGTGCGATAACTAACCCAAAGATGCCCGATATTCCAGATAAAAAAATAATATGCTTCGAAAGCAGGAGTGACCTTCCATATATGCATGTCTGTAATGTTCATCTCAGTTGAATATAATTATGGTCGAAAAAGTAAGACTTTTTTGTTCAAACATAATGTTTATGTAGCTAGTTACGTAAAGATTTATGTTTGGATAAATTTGTGTAAATAATCAACCTGTACGTGGAGGTAGAACAAAATATTAATGCATACGCGTCCTAAAGAAATGGACATTGCGGCAAGTGCAGGATTGTTCTTCCATCGTAGTAACGGTAGCTACAAGTAAATATGCATTAATTAAGATGTATATAACTATGAAGTTTGACATTTTGAACGTTAAAATTGTAAATGAAATGCACAGATAAAGAAATTAGACTCACGTGAACAGAATAGGCTGTTGCAAGAGCATACCATATCAAGAGACCCAACTTTAATGGCCAGGATTTGGTACTCCATCCAAGGCAAAAACCCTAATAACCATAGAAAATAGTCAAACACAGCATTAATTGTTTCAAGGCTAAGATTTGATATTAATTTTAGTTTATTGATCGATCCTACCAAAATAGCGTACAAAGAGGTGATGCGAATGGCATTTTTAACTGAAAGCTCGCCTAATGGCAATGGCAAATATGGCTTGTTAATCTTGTCGATGTCAATATCGGAGAGTTGATTTATGGCTGAAACATACGAGGTGGCTAAACTGCCACCAATGAGAGCCTGAAATATGACCAAAGCAAATATATATATATATATATATATATATATATATATATATATATATATATATATATATATATATATATATATTAGTTTATAACCCGTGGAAACCACGGTTATAAAACTAATTAAACATTTATAGTAAAAACTCAAAATTATTAATCAATTATTTTAGATAAATATTAATTAAAAGATATTTTTATTAATTATATTAAATTATAATAGTTGATTCAAAGAAATATGTAAAATTAATTTTTAATATATATTAGATATTTTTTATTTGTGATTTAATGAAAAAATAATATAAAATTTAAATTTAAAATTTAAAATTTAAAATAGTTAATATATACATTGACAAATAGCATCGCATTAATGAGGTTAATGATGATATTTAATAAATTTAAAATGGAATAAATAATAGATTGAAATGTCTAATACGATGACACATAGCAAAAAAACTACTCATTTATTAGTATAGGGATATATATATATATATATATATATATATATATATATATATATATATATATATATTACAGTAGCAAGTCGAGAATAAAAAGTCACATGGTTCCTAAACCATGTTCAACCAGACCGATAAAAATATGGTTTAGATAACTAGACCGCACCGGCTGGTTCGATCAATTGAAGTAGGAACCGTTCTTGTTACCCGTTTTTAATCTAACAAAAACTCTTGTTAGCAATTAGTGGCAACGGCACCGGTTGGACCTTTAAGAAAAAAAATATTTATAAATATATGTATTATAAAAACAAATGTAAAAACGGATTTAGAATAAAAAGCACTCCAACTAATTGGTTTTTAATTTATTAGCTAAGTCACAGCTAGCCGTCACACACAAACTTACCTTAAAATTTTCTATCATTGTTTTATTTATAAGACATCATCTCTCACCTATATTGTGTAGTTAGTCATGTCGCACTAACTATAAATGGTCAATATATCCTTTTAAATCAAATAATTTTTATAAAACATATATTTTTTCCTTGTTTTTTGTTTAGGTAGATCCTTTATTATTTTTAAGGTAGATCTGTTTTCGGATATATAATTTATAGTAAGTATTGAAAGTTTAAGTGGGTCAAAGGACCAAACTTGTGATATAGAAGACTCGCCTCTCTCTCTCTCTCTATCTATCTATCTATCTATCTATATATATATATATATATATATATATATATATATATATATATATATATATATAGTTAGGTTATTATTGTGTTCTAACTATCTATTGTGTGCATGTAGGATTGATTGTGGACCAATAATTTTAATTATTTTAAGATAATTAGTACATATTACATGTTGGAGATATAATGAGTATTAATAATATATTCAACATTTAATATGTATTAATTGTTTTTTTAAACTAACTAAAATAATTGATCCAGAATCAATCCTATATGCACGCAATAGATAGTAGAAACATTTGAATCAAACTCTTTTCTCTTTCTCTCTCTCACTCACTCTCTCTCTCTCTCTATATATATATATATATATATATATATATATATATATATATATATATATATATATGTATATAGTTTTATATTATTTGCCAAGTATCACTCTAATACAACTTCCTTATTAATATTATATCATATGTCATATAGATATATTAGATAATTCATTTGAAAATTCAAATTTACATTTTCAAAATATATGTTAAATTTGAAGTTATAATAACTTTAAAATTTTGATATGTATCTTAATTAATAATTTATTTAAAATGACTTATTTAAAATAATTATAAATTTTTATTATAAAAGTTTAATTAATTTTATAACCATAGTTCCCATACCTATTCTAATCAATAAATAGTTTTAATCTTATTTTACCAAGTGTCACTCTAATACAACTTCTCATTAATATTATATAATGTGTCACGTAGATATACTAGACAACTCATTTTAAAATTCAAATTTACATTTTCAAATTATATTTTAAATTTGTAGTTATAATAACTTTAAAATTTTTGATATATCTCTTAATTAATAATTTATTTAAAATAATTGATTAATAATTATAAATTTTTATTATAAAAGTTTAATTAATTTTATAACTGTGGTTCCTACATGTTATGAACTAATATATATATATATATATATATATATATATATATATATATATATATATATATATATATATATATATAGGGTTAGGTTCATTTGAGACCACCTATATTTTGTGAGACCGTGAGACGCATTTTTTTATTTATTTTTATTTTTTTTAGTTAATTCATGTTCCGAAAATAATAGTTAAAAAAAGAATTTTTTTTTTTATTTTTCCATTTATTTTGCATTTTAAAATTATTTTTAGAATATGTACAGTGTAATATTATATTTAGAATATTTCACGTATTTTTCAAAAAAAATAGAATTTTTATTTTTTTTATTTTTTTTAGTTAATTCAAGTTACGAAAATAATATTTAAAAAAAGAATTTTTAGATTTTTCAATTTATTTTGCATTTTAAAATTATTTTTTAGAATATATCAGTGTAATATTCTATTTATAATATTTCACGTATTTTAAAAAAAAACGGATTTTTTTTTTTATTTTTTTATTTTTTTATATTTTTTTTAGTTAATTCAAGTTCCGAAAATAATATTTAAAAAAAGAATTCTTGGATTTTTCCATTTATTTTGCATTTTAAAATTATTTTTAGATTTGTTATCACGGTCTCACAAAATTAGAATGATCTCAAATGAACCTGAACATATATATATATATATATATATATATATATATATATATATATATATATATATATATATATATATATATATATATATATATATATATATATATATATATATATATATATATATATATATATATCAAATTTATTAATTCACAAAATAATTAAATTAAGTAATCATGGTATAAGAAGAAGCTGGCCAACCTGCAAAACTCCAGTGAGAAAAGATGGAGTAAAATCTGAAAGTTTGTGGACGGCAAGTAAAGACGTTGAGATGATGGACAACACCTACTCGATCAAGGACATGGTTAAATAAATTTCACGAACAACATAGTGGACGTAAATTAAATAAAAGAAGAAAGGATCATGCATATTAACACTTGGTATCAGATATAATGTATAACTGGTGGCAAAATTCCTAAAACTAAAACGTGAATACTTATTTACAAGAAATATATATGCACCAAAATCTTGGCGACTACTTTATTTGTCGCCAAATATTTTTGTTTCTAAAACTTTTTTAAATTGTAAACGATGAAGACTCTTTGCAATCAATATTTTGTTTGCCATGACTCATATATATTGGCGCTAAATATTATTTACAGTATATTGTAGTGAAACTGATCACGTATATGTTGCAAGTTTTTGGTAAGAATAAAAATCATATATACCGCTCCTCGAATAGTGTAAACTTTTGCATATCTGTAAATAACTTTGAACGTAGCTCCAAGTGATTTGCTATGAATTTGAGGACGAACACCTGCAGACCCATGTGGATTGGGAGCAGCGCTTGCCAGAATTCGTGCTCTCTGTCTTGGATAGTTCATTTTACGACTTGGTTTGGTGATTCAGTCACCCAAATTTGACAATTTAATGCCGAAATCCAATTTCTGATTCAACCCTTGAAACTTCTCATTTTCCATATATAGACCAACAATAAATGCAAAAGAAGTTGGCTGGTGGAATTGCTGACGCCCTTTGGCTTTTTTTAGTTAACAACACAATTTTTGATGTACGTATCTTCTTCCTTGAATTGGTGCATCTTTTAACTTTTGTAATTAATCTAGTCCCATCTTGGAAGTTAGATCCTTCTGGTAAGTTCTCTGTTCGATATGTCAAAATCCATATTAATGATACACATCTTCCAACCGGTAATTTTGTGACTCGTTTGAATAGATTGATACCAATAAAGATTAATGTCTTTATTTGGAGAGTTATGATGGATCGTATTCCAACACGAAGGAATTTAGATAGACACATCGTGGAAGTTGAGTCAATATTGTGTCTGATATGTAGTGATGTTTGTCATTTGTTCTTTAAGTATTATCTCGCTCGTCAGCTTTGGTCACAGATTGGACGTTGGATGGAAATACAATTGCTTTTGATTGCTTCTTGTTTGTGATAGAGTGGATTGATACCTAGCATGTAGCTTGTTTGAAGCTTGGGACTTTGGACTCGGTATGTATGACGGTCATGTGGGTTCTTTGGACTTTGGACTTTCAAATTGGATGGCTGAATACCCCAATTCTTAACTAGTGTGTCCTTTTTTGTATGTTGCTAGCTCCTAGCTAGCTTTTGTTTTTAATTTATGCTTGTTCTCCAATATATATATATATATATATATATATATATATATATATATATATATATATATATATATAGCTTATTTTATTTAAAATAATTATTGTGTTTTTGTATGCATAAATGCGAGCCAATCATTTTACTAATTTTAAGAAAAGTAATAAATACATATTATTGAATTAAATATAATCGAAAAATATCATCTAATTTAACTAGAATGATATTTTAGTCAATTAATATAGATTTAATAAATGAAATGTGCATATTTTAAGGGATTATAAATTCTATTAATTTTAAAAATCTGATTTTACGAATTATAAAGTTTTTAATTCGGGTATTCTGATAGAATATGTTTGAGTATGTTCAAAAATAAAAATATTCTAGTACTATAAAATAATAAAAATATTCTTGAACATATTTCTTGATCATGACTTTAAAAAATTCTTATAGAAATAAATTCTCGAACCAACAATTGAAGAATTAAAACGAAAATTACATTAATTCTTATAGAATACATGTAACAATTACTAAGAATTACATTTATTGTTAAAAAATAAAATTAAAAAACTTTCAAATCGCGAAAAAAATATCAAAATCTAACAAATACACTAATTCATTCTAAAATAATAATGTTGCTAAAAGGCGTCGTTCAAATTTCGTGGTCCGTTCTTCAAGCATCAACTTCTGTGGAAACAAATCCAATGAATAAATTAGTGAGAAAATATTCATATTTCATTCCAACATCATTGGAATTCGTGATTCCATTCTGATAGAATTGGAATTCATTTACCAATAATTATATTAATTCGGTGCATTGTAACAAATATGTTCATGATTATCATAAAAAAAAATTCTTTTCTGATAGAATACTATAAACGAAGAAATATCATTCAGTTGAAATACCATCTTAATTCTTCATTTTGACGAAGAGATACCATCGTAATTGCATAGTCCTGAAAAGATGAGGTACAAGAAATGTAATTTCACCAAAAAGCAATAAAGTGAACTAAACCAATGTAAAATTGAAGAAATTAGATACCTTTATGGTAATAGAGTCGGGAGGTATCATTTCAGCAGGAGGTTGATCCCATTCACTATGGGCATTGAGTATAAAAGTAAGAAAATGTTTGTTTTTATAATCTTGTTCAAAGTACTAAAATATATACATGGTCAACCAAACATGTCAATGTCATTTTCGTAATTAACTCCCCAATGAAGAACCCATTTCCCTAGAAGGTTACATCCTACAGTTAGTTGCCAATTTTCCTCATCCTTACCACTATCTAATCTAATTAGTATCTTTCATTCCACCTGTAATTGATATTGAAAAGACCATGAGACCAATATATTTACATTATAGTTTCTTTCTTGTAACTGTTTTCTCCATCCTCCATTGCCTAAAATGAGCTGCATTTTGATTTGTTATGCCAAACATTGCATCACTCAACAAATTGAAATGAAACGTTTTGCAAATTTGACATCAAAACTATTCTACTTTAACTTTAGTAATTGTTATCACAGCAGATTTAACAATCGGATAAAAACAATGTGCATATATAGTGCTCTAACAGAGAGAAAACCTATCCCCAAATTATATGGTCCTAACATCCATGGTTTGCGGTCTTTCTAGATGACCGTGTGACACATCGTTTGCAGGCACTTCAGTGTTCGTGGGCTAGAGTGATGTTGGTCCCTTGTTCGCGGCCACCGTAAACATCACGTGGGAATCGGGAGGTGTATCGTTGGAATTGGCATCGTTTGTACCGATCCTGAACGACACCGCGGGGTACTTCTACTTTGCAAAGTCGGAGTAGCAAAATTAGAGTCACGAGGTTGGAGTTTCGGGTGGAAGTCATGAGCCACTTAGAGCATTCGGCTGGCCGTGCACACAAGTAGTGAACGTGATGCTTGTTTCTGTTGGGTTAGGTAGCACTAAGAGACACTTTTCTATCAATTGGTTGGATAGAAATAATAAAAGGTTGAACATGTAACAAACGGTTGGTTGCGTATTAAAAAGTTGAATATATAACAAAGGTTGATTATTAACAAAAGGTTGGTTGCATATTAAAAGGTTGAATGTATATCAAAGGTTGCTTATTAATAAAAGGTTGAACATTTAAAGGTTGCTTATATATAAAATGTGATTAATTATATGCTATGTGGTTGCTTATGTGGTATTTGGCTGATCATATATGTTATGTAGTAGAATTGTGATTCAACATATATGCATGTATGCGGTTAAATAATTATGATATACGGTCGTTTTCTAAGTGGTATTTGTTTATCATTTTTATGCTTCATCATAAAATTAATGATTGACCCATTTGGGGTTTGTATGTTTTATGTGCAACTTTTTGAACTTACTCAGTAGGGGTGACACTCGTATCTTTTCTCTTTTGTGCCTTATGATTGGTGCAGACAGTTTAGAAGATTGGCCTTGGTGAGAGGGGTTCTTATGGGTAGTAGTCTTATAGTAACAATACCACTCTTGGACATTCTTTGATTATTTACCTTAAGTACTTTTGTTTACATTTTAAATGGTTTGGAATTTCGTTTGAGTTTTCAGAGTAACGTTGTGGTTTTGAAAATGTTTGGAATTAAAACTAAGTCTTCCGCTAACGTATTTTGTTAAATAAATGTTTTAAAAAGAAAAAAAAATCATGGTGAAAATCACGACGTTACAAGGTGGTATCAGAGCCATGTTATGAGTGAACTGAATTCAAATGACGGTGTTCATACTCACATCTTAGTTGGCTCAATTAAGACCTTTAGGTACTTAGGGGGGGGGGGGGAGGGTGTGTGTTGAGCGTTGTAGGATAATTGCTTATAAACTTTCCCTTTATAATATTTGTATATGCATTTAAAAAGAAACTCTTTATAAATTAGGATAATGTCGAATGTTGAGGAGAATATGAATGCTGGAGGCGCGGGAGGCAGCCAAAGCAATCGTACTCCCGGTTCACTGTCGTTCATGTTTCAGACCCCACCCATTAACCGCCAGCCACGAGCCCAACCATCACCGAGCACATGTAGCACAGGGAGTGCCGAAATCATTGCGGACCTTTAGGAGCAGCTCCAGGAGTGGGATAGGGCGTTGGAGCAGATACGGCAGGCGATGCGTCCCGTCTGACTATTGCCATCTAAGGGTGAGAACGAGGGTGGAGATCAATCGTTTGATGACGAGTCACATAGTCGTTCCGTGCCAAGGCAGGAGGTCGTTGGAGCTGTCAGAGGCCGAGGGAGTTCATTCAAAACCTTCATGTACTATAAGCTGCCTACCTTTAAGGGAGGCGAGAGTACTGTGGCATGCCTTCGTTGGATTAGAAAGATGGACCAAACCTTCCGATCTGGTTAATTTACTGAGGACCAGAAGGTGAATTATGCGGTGCGAACGTTTGACAAGGAAGCACTCGAGTGGTGGCACACTATTGACGCACGACTCACTGAGGTCACTCGGAGGGTTATGACTTGGGAAATTCCTAGTAAGAAGGTGAAAGATCGTTTCTGCAGTGAAGGCAACATATAACAGGCCCAACGGGAGTTTTTGACTTTTCAGAAAGGTAGCATGACAATTGTTAAGTATAACACCACCTTTACTGAGAAGTCACAATTCGCTACTGATTACTACCCGACCGAGGAGAAGTTGATTTGTCACTATGTGGAGGGGTTACCATTTGAGTACCGTGCAGTTGTGAGATTGAATACCACTTTGGTAGAGGCCATGGATGAGGCCCGCAAGATAGAGAATGATATAGCTATTCAGGATCGTACCACAGCGAGGTCCGGGGAAAAACGCAAGTGGGAGGGTCAATTAGGGTCCCCCTGAGAAGCAGAAATTTCAGAAGAATGGTGCAAAATCAACATTTTGTAAGAAGTGTCACTCTTTTCATGGAGGTCCATGTAGTAGCAGTACCAAGAGTTGCAAGCGATGTGGTAAGGTGGGGCACCGTTATGAAGATTGTAAGAGTCCTGAACCTATGTGCTACAACTGTCGCCAAATGGGACATATCAGTATGCAATGTCCCAACCGCAAGGTCCAGATGGGAGCTGGTGAGAAGAAAGATGAAGCGCCAAAGGTGAAAGCTCGTGCTTTCAATATGACAACTGATGAGGTAATTTTTAGGAACCCAACTAATTAATTTTATACATGTTTATGTGTTATTTTTGCTTGTGTGTTATTTGATGCTAGTGATAGTAAGTAGTTGGTATCAGTGCATTTATGTAGTCGTTTATGGTGTGTCTCGGACTCTATTAGTTGCGATGTAGATATTGATGTGGCTATGTTTGATTTAGTCATAACGCATGAAAAGTTTGATATGGGTGATATCTGTTTTGATGGACACATTTTTTTTCCTTTAATATTAATTCGTTTTGGAGTATAACTCAATGAGGCAACCTAGAAATGAGAAGAAGCATAGACATAGAGATTCCGAGGATGAAAACTTTTTAAGGAAGGGAAAATTGTAACGACCCAAATTTACTTCCGTCAGCGACATCAGCGTCCGTTACTTGAATAAGTGTTTATGCAAATGATTATTGGTTTAAGGTTTATAATGAAATGAATTAAATAAAAATGGTTTTATTTGGTATATAAAAGAATTACACAATATTTAAGAAGAAGAGATTTAACTAATTAATTTGTGGGAGTATTTAGAGTAAATATAATTTATGTAAGAATCATAAAGGTTGAGGGGTTAGAATGTAATTTTAGAAAATATGAAACTTTAAAATAAAATAAAAATGGGGTTATTATGGATCAATAGAGGGAAGACAAGGGACTGTTAGTGTAAGTTGGGAATTACAATTACGTTTTCAACCCATGCGTCAAATGAAATCGTGTCGATTCTTTTCTATTTTCCGTCGGTTACATCCCATCTTCTCTAACCATAAAAAATCGATTACGCCGCATCTTTTTTTGGGCTGCTACTTTTCCAAGAGAAGAAAACGGGAAAAAGTGAGAGAAAGTCGAGCAAATGAAGAAGAGACGAGTGAGATAAGTGAGAAATTAAGAGGCCGGCTGAGAGACGGGGACTGCGAGGTGGAAGATAGGAGACAAGTTTGGTTTTCTTGTTGCGTTTAATTCTCTTCCAGGTAACCTAATTCTGTTTTCTAACCTTCTTAGCGACGTTACAAGCCTAAACCGTGACTAATATCATATGTCTACGTGGGTATGCTGTGTTTGTTCTCTTGTGTCTGGTTGTGACTTTTGTTGCCCAAAACAGCCATTAAAGATGACTCCTTCTAAATACTCACGAAGCCTTTCCTTAACCAATATCGATCCTAACAAACATAAGTAGATTTTATTTCAGACTTGTAAAGATCAAAGTTAACTATGTCCTAATTGGCTGCAAATCCTACCATCTATTCTTCGATACATCATGCCTTCTTAGAACTTTATTAAGTTGCTGGAAAGTGAATAAAAGCCCAATGAAAGTGGTGATAACTGATAAAAGGATACATGTGTATGTAAAATAGTTTTTTGAAAGAACAAAAAAGATAGTAAGCCACGTTTGAGGTGTACCATAATTCATGGTAACATGAAAACCATTGCTAGGATTAATTAAATCTATGGTTAATTAATCATATGAGTTTATATCGATTATAACATACCCATATATGTCATCGAAGTCATGCTTTGAATCAAATAAAGCTTATTGAAATTTTAAAGATGCAAATGCTTAGAATTTAATATTAAAAGTTGATTAATTTGTTAGAAAAAAATTATACTTTAAGGATAAAATAATTATTTAAACTAAACAAAAGAATATGAGACAATGGATAAAGAAGTAAAATAATGCTTACCAAGGAATATATAATTAATATGGCAAGAGTGTATATATCATAAGACTCAAGACGAAGCAAAGGCATAAAAATATTGTTAACGGGGAAGACATCAACTGACCAAATCTTGTAAGCGAAGTAGGATAAAATGGGTGTATAATTAGACAAAATTTACAGAGATAAAAAAATTATAGGAAATCGAGTCTAGTTTTCATAATGTCCGATTTCATCCCAAATGGAGTTGTAGATTAGGTTTTATGCTTAAAACAATGAACATGGGTCGGGCAGGGAAAATATAAAAATTAATATAAAAGTTAGAATAAAGTTGTATTTTTGAAACATATACTTTATTTGTTAATTGAACGTTATGTGTGAAGTTTAGGTGGAGCCTTGAGAACTTCAAGTAAGTTCAAGACTTGGAATAGAAGGAAGATTTCATCAAGGCTAAAGGTGAGTTCATAGTTTTAACTCACTAAGGTTGTATTATTGAAACGTACAATCCGTAGATGGTGATTTGATTCACTTTAGGATGACCATATCATTATTTGTGCTTGATGATGATATGATATTTGTGATGCTAAAATACGCTTTGTGCTAATGCCATGATATGACCTAATTGCTAGCTTAAGTTACTTGAAATAAGATGTATGGTTATGTTTTGATGTGTTGGTTATGAATACATTGCATGTTTAATACACATTTATATGGTATGCATTACATGCTTTACTTAATGTATGACATTGTGAGGTTATGCGTAGTAGGTTTGGGTAGTTTGATGATCTTTGCCTAAAACCTTATCTGGATCATTAAGGGTGCCTACTAAGTTGAAAGAGTACCTATAGGAAGAGCTATAGCCACAACGGTGATTAGTTTCCGGTATTTCTAGATGACCGTGTGACACATGGTTTGCGGGCACTTCGGTGTTCGTGGGCTGGAGTGATGTTGATCCCTCGTTCGCGGCCAGCGCAAACATCACGTGGGAATCGGGAGGTGTATCGTTGGAATTGGCACCGTTTGTACCGAACCTGAACGACACTGCGGGGTACTTGTACTTTGCAGAGTCGGAGTAGCAAAAGCTGAGTCACAGGGTTGGTGTTTCGGGTGGAAGTCATGAGCTACTTAGAGCATTCGGTTGGCCGTGCACACAAGTAGTGAACGGGGTGTTTCTCTTGGGTTAGGTAACACTAAGAGACACTTTTCTATCAATCGGTTGGATAGATATAATAAAAGATTGAACATGTAACAAACGGTTGGTTGCATATTAAAAGGTTGCATATATAACAAAGGTTGATTATTAACAAACGGTTGAACATGTAACAAAAGTTTGGTTGCATATTTGTCACAACCAGGAAATTCGATTCCTTGTAAACATTTAACAATGATAACAAATGTGAACCAACAACGTGAAAGCACATATGATGCTTACTCAATAACAAATTGTCCATCAAACACTCTATGCAAACACTGCAAATAGTCAACAAATAATTGGAAACCCTAGAAATCCCGGTTTAAGTCCATTATGGACTAGGATTTCCTTATTGGGCCTAATGGGCCAATAAGCTTCCAATTTGACTATTTTGGGCTTAAAACTCTTAAATGGGCTCCAATTGGACCCACTTTCATTTATTTTAGCATTTTGGGCCATATTGGGCCTAGAATGAAGTAAAATACTTTAATGGGCCTTATTGGGCCATAACTAACCTAATTAACCTTAATGGACTACGAAGCCCATTATTTTTGACAAATTGGGCCGTAAACCATCATGGGAACCCAATAGATCGAAAAATCATCAAATTGGGCCCACAATATGGATTTAAGCAAAAAGGCCCAAAACTCTCTTCTCGTTTCTCTAGTTCTCGACCCAAGTAGGAAAACAAAGAAAAAAAAAAGAACAGAAAAGAGAGAAGTAGATTAAGAGAGTTGACTGTTATGCTGACACCTCATGATTATCCAACATATCTCTAAGTAATATCTTCCATGTATCCATGCATAATTTCATGTATCAAGGCAAGCTCATCTCTTCCCCCCTCTCTCCTTATCCACGGCCGAGAGCGCCCCACACCACCACCATTTTCATTTTGATCAAACTCTTACAAGAAAAACTCTTAAGAACTCTTCCTTTTTCTCCAAATTTTCGAGCATTGGTGTGTGACTTCAAGGAGTTTACCAATTAATATCATCATAGTTGGTAAGTAATTACTTGAATCCATGACTTAACTTCTACATTTCATCAAACATCTCATCTTAACTCATGCAAATTCATGATCTAACTCCCTCGAACCCTCTAAGTTCGAAAAGTTCCTCAAGAAGTTGCTAGGGCCGAAATATTCTCTCAAATCTTCATCAAAACCAAATCCAAACCACAAGGTGAGTTTCATACCCCTTTCTTTTCGGTTTTTATGAGTTTTATGGGGGAGAATACAAGAAAATGTGTAGATTTATGTGTATATGTATGCTATGTGTGATTTGATGCATGTATGTGTGTGATATCATGTGTTTTGTGATGAATATGTTACCAAAAAGGGGTGTAAACCCGAGATCTATGACATGAGAAAGGGAGCAAGCATAACCTAAGCTATCTTACACTAAACAAGTCAAGAAAAAATGTTTACAAGGTCATGATGAACATGTTCTAACATAAAACCCATTTTTGGGCTTAAATTGTTAAAAATACAAACCTAGGGGTACAAATCAACAAGTCACGGTTTCTTGAAGGTTAGAAGGGTCAAAACAGTTCCTATAATTATTTTTCTGAACATTAGGAATTTCAAGGGACTTAAAATGTAAATATTTGGCCTAATGGGCTATTTATGGGCTTCTCGGCCCAATAAGCCTCAAAAATGCGAAAATGATAAGTTGAGGAGTTGGAAATGTAACTTCCTGTAAAACAGGGGATAATTACCATAACAAAATGTTTATAAGGGTCAAAAATGCTTTTCACTAATAAAAATGACCAAAAATGTAAACCTTTTAGATTTTGGGCCAAAACTGTAAAAGTTGTGAAAAATGGGTCCCTAACAGAGAATCACTATTCTAGAGGGGCTGAAGCTGTCAACAACGTAAATTTTGGGTTAAAATCGTGTTTTCATCAAATAAATAATACAAAAGTGTCAAGAAAAGGGTTTTAAGGACTAAAAATGGAATTCTTTTATATGAAAAGGACTAAAAGTGTTATTTTTATAAAAGAAGGGTAGTTGATGTGTGTAAAACTCACTTAGTTTTAAACCTACTTTTAATTATCAAATAACACACAAAAGGCAGTGAACCTATCAATTGTGGTATAGCTAAATAAGTAGGGT